GACAGAAAATTATCTGTGCAGGTCCACGTCTTCGTATAGCCCCCATATAACGGTACCTCCCTATATTCGGTATTTTGATGATTTTAACGACATTATTCACCGGAATTTTTTCAAATTTAGAATTTGATGTTCGTACAGTCTGTGACAGAAAATTGTCTATGCAGGTCCAGGTCTTCGTATAGGCCCCATATATCAGTACCTCCCTATATTCGGTATTTTGACGAGTTTAGGTACAAAACCCACCGAAATTGTTTGAGATGTCGTATTTTAAGTTCGTAATGGGAACTAAAGTCTGTGATAGAAAATTGTCTATGCTGGCCCAGGTCTTCGCACAGCTCCAATATAACGGTACCTCCCTATATAGGGTATTTTGATAATTTTAGCTACACTATTCACCGTTTCTTTCAAGTTTCGAATTTGAATATGGTAATGACTTATGACAAACAATGCCTACGTAGGTCCACATCGTATAGACCCCAATATAACGGCTATATTCGGTATTTTTAAAATTTTAACAGAATTTTCTAAGGATTTTTTTTTTTTTTTGAAAATTTTCAAATTCTTTCCAAATGGAGGAGGGTATTCAAAGTTCGGCCCAGCCGAACTTACTGCTTTTTAACTTGTTATAGTTCATACTACTTATTTCGCTTTCTTAGAGTGTTTTCTTTTTCAAAATCTTGAACCTCATGTGGGGGAGGTACGATCTTTACCATCTTTATAACAGATCTTGTGTTGATGGAAATATTGAGATGTACCAAGTCTGAATGAAATCGAATATTAATTTCACGATTTCTGAGCTTAATGGATATTTAAAATGTTAACCCTTTGTGGGGACCGATATATTCCATCTTCGCAACAGATCTTGTGTTAGTTTAAATAATGAGATGTGTGAAATATGAAGAGAACCGGAAGCCTATTTCATATTTTATAATCGTTTGGTTATTCACTTTGACCCGTTGCGTACCAGAAAGAGTTGACCAATATTGTCCATCTTCACGCCAGACCTTGGGTTAATAAAAATATTGTGCTGTCTGTAATTTTTAGGCAATCGGACTTTTACATCACATTTAATTCGAGTTAAAATTATTATACTTGATGGAGTGGACCGATATTTTCCATTCTTGCACCTGACATATTACTGACAAAAATATTGAGATTTGCAAAGATGGCCCAAAATCGAATGATCGTTTCTCCTTCTATGAGATATCTTATTTTCTTTGAAAAAATTGAATTTTTGTGGGTGAAGCGGTGAACCGACATTGCCCATCGCCGAACTCGATCTAAGTTTGACAATAATATTGCGATGTACCAAGTCTGAACCAAATCGAATACTCCCTTCGAGAGTTATCATGCGCACCAGACAGACAGTCAGATAGACGGACACCCCCAGATCGACTCTAAATGTCCTGAAACGGATTTGGTCTAAAAGACATAGGGTCAAAAACCGTTATTTCGATGAGGAAGGTTTGGACGTAGCAAATGATATATAACACATGTAGCTACATGACAGATGGTTTAATCAAATGATATATACCCTCTATAGCCATATGGCTGAGGGTATAAAAGAAAGAAAGGCAAATAAGCATCCATCTCCCTTTAAATTTCACACAAACATTTTTGCCAACACAAGATCTGTTGTGAAGATGATATATATCTTCGAACCTCTTTTGGTACATCACCCACAAAGGGTCACAATTTTCAATACATTTATCTGTCATAACTAGCGATACAAGTCAGAAATTCTTTGCATCTTGCTATATCGAAATATTTCTCTCAACCAGAAAACTGAAATATGGAATTCATTATTTCACATAAAATTAGATTTAAATGTTCGACTTTCCTGTATTGTTGTCCACACCAATATTTTTATCTGAAGTATGAAAATGGAATACTTCGGTCGAATAAAGATTATTACATATCTTATATGAAGTGAAGGAAGTAATCGATATAGTCCAAACCTGAGACGTCGCAATATTTATATCATATTTATTTAGGTCCGATACGAAATGGACAACATTGGCCCGGAACCTACTCCATAGAGGACCAACAATATGAATAATAATAACAGAAGCCAAAGCCGAAGAAGCCGGCAAAACCGACTGATACTTTTTTCTTTGTTTTTGTTTAATTTTTTGGACCCACTTACGACTCTCTGTCCCTATTGCTAGTCGGTAGAATACCATAAATGAATGTAAGCAAGTAACAAGTAAAAAAAAACGAACTTTTAATACCCTCCACCTTAGGGTAGTGGAAATATTAGAACCAATTATGACCCACAAATACCAATTTTTAGACATATTCTTGGGAAAATGTGGCAAAAGTCATCAAAATACCGAATACCGGGAGGTACCGCTATATGGGTACAAAAACGTGGACCTATACATACAACGTTTCGCCACCGGAGCTACAACCCAACCCATTATGACGAACAAATACCAATTTTTAAACAAATCCAAAAAAAATAATGTGTGCTGTATCGTGATTTCAACAGACGGACATCATTAAATCGACTTAGAATTTTATGCTGATTATGAATATATATATATATATATATATATATATATATATATATATATATATATATATATATATATATATATATATATATATATATATATATATATATATATATATATATATATATATATATATATATATATATATATATATATATATATATATACATTATGGGGGCTACGACGAATATTTAGACATGTTACAAACGGAATGACAAAATAAATATACCATCCTTTCCAAGTTGGAGGGTATAAAAAAGCATACAAGCTTGGCAGGGCCAAACCTTTAATACCCTCCAAAATTTGAAAGAAACTTGCAAATGTGAAAAGTGTCCGTACAAAAATGTCCCTAATTTTTAAAAATTCCGAAATTAGATGGGCCATTAGAAAACATGAACCTATATAATAAATTATCTGCCAGTGTGGGCAGTGCCTATTTCTATCTCCAAAAAAACTAGTATGAGATAATTCTGGTACCGTTATATGGAGGCTATACGAATCTGTACAGGCAATATTCTGTCATATAAGGCCCATTTTCAATACCAAAAATGCTATAAACCTAAAATGCATTTAAACAAAATTTTATCAACCTACTTCATTTGTTTTTTTTTTATACCCTACACCACAAGGTGGTCAGGGTATTATGTCTTTGTGCATTTGTTTGTAACAGGCAGAAGGAAACGCGATAGACCCATAGTTCCTTCTGATGATCTGCATAGAATCACATTCTGAGTCGATTTATGCATGTCCGTCCGTCCGTCTGTCCGTCCGTCCGTCCGTCCGTCTGTCCATGTATTTTTGTAAACAAAGTACAGGTCGCATTTATTGCCCGATCCAGATGAAATTTTGCACAGATCATTTGTTTGGCCCAAGGACGAACCCTATTGAAATTGGAGATAGTCGGTCAAAATTTAGATATAGCTCCCATATATATTTTCGTCCGATTTGCCTTTTATTGAGCACCAAACGTGTAATATCAGCCCGAATTGTATGGAATTTTGCATATACACCCATATTAGACCTAAAAATATGTGTGACAAATTTGATCGAAATCGGTTCAGATATAGCTATAGCTCCATATATATTGTTCATCCGATTTGTTATTTTTGTCCACCGCCGCCGTAATATGCACTCTGCAACAACAATATTTGGGGAAATGTATCAAATACAGCTCAGAAATACATTTGCTAAATTTTATCGAGATCGGTTCAGATTTGGATATAGCTCCCATATATAACTTCGTCCGATTTACCTTTTATTGTGCACCAAACGTCTAATATTTGTCCAAAGGGGATGAAATTTGGCGCTTACGACCGAATTGAGTCTAGAAGCTAGTATGTCAAATTTGGTGAAGATCGGTTCAGATATAGCTATAGCTTCCATATATATACTTCATCCGATTTGTTATATTTGTTACCCACAACCGTAATATACACTCCGTAACAACGATATTCAGGGAAATATATCAAATACAGCTCAGAAATATCTTTGCCAAATTTTATCGAGATCGGTTCAGATTTGCATAAAGCTTCCATATATATCTTTATCAGATTTCAAATTTATTGTGCACCAAATGGGCAATACAATTCCGAATTTAAAATATACACTTGCTTCGGCATATTTAGTCCTTTGAACTTTAAATTATAATTATAATCATAGCGTGTATGACTGAATTCTCCCATAAAAACTTTTAATTGTTATGTGGAGCTCTACTAAATTAGCAAAGTGGTGTAGGGTATCATAAAGTCGGCCCCGCCCGACTTTAAGACTTTCTTTACTGGTTTTTTTTGGGAAGTTCCGCAGACGTACGACTTTGGCTAATTCGACATTGAATCTTATGTTATACATATTTTGTGGGGGTCTAAAATGTTATTTCATGTAGGAATAACAAAGTTATTATAACCTCCATAGTATGGTGGAGGATGTAAAAATATTCACTTGATATGTCCCAAAGTGAAACGATTATTTTTTATATTTTAAATATTATTAGATTTTATGAAAATATAATAAAATTTATTTCTTTTATTGCATTTTTTTCAAATTTCTTTTTGATTATTATGATTACTTCGAAATTTCAGCGTATTTCTATTTTTGTAGACTATAAAACGTTGCTTCTTGTTAAACATGTAGATGTTAAACATATAATTTAAGCTTACGATTATTTTCTTATGTAAAAACTATTATTTCTTATAAACAAATAAAATTGCTTACATTTGATTTTTTTTAATATCAGTCTTCATTTTGTAAATGAATCTCTTGATGATGACAATAATTATGATGATATAGATGGTGATGATAATTAAGCTTTAATTATATTACTATATTAAAAAATAATGGTAATTGATTTATATCTACTGGGATAGATACGTATTTCATGGAAAATATTATTATTATTTAAAAGAATTGAGAAATAATTTACACTTAAATACTTATATTCATTTGGACTTGTATAATAAAGTAGAAAAAATTAATTATTTATTTAAAAATTATAATATCAATATTTGTATCTTAATTGGTATATTTTAAAAATATGTATTCAGTTCTTTGTTGTTTCTCCTTTTTGTATCCCCGTTTGTACAGTTTCCACAGATGTCTTACGTTTATTTCGCGTTACATGTATAAAATATATTCTTAAAATTAATGCTAAACAATATCTATATATAAATTTTAAATTAAAAAATATTCATTTTTCATTTATTAAAATAATATAAAAAGAGTGTCAAATTTTAAATTAAAAAATATTCATTTTTCATTTATTAAAATAATATAAAAAAAAATGAAGTATATTATTATTATTTATAAAACACCATGCTGGTTTTCTTTCTAGAGGACATCAAATTGACCTAATATTTTCAACAGATTTTCTGTTTATAGAAAGCTTCATTGATGTTGTAGCTGAAGCTAGAATAATGCAATTGTGTTTAAATTCGAAAAATTTTCATTTGCTTTTAATTTTGGTAATTGTGGAAACTGATCTTTTAGTTAACGACGGATAGAGAACATTAAGATATACATAGAACAACTCATCTGTTTTAATTGTGATTATAGAAAATCATATTGATTTTATATGTACACATACATGTGGCGAATGCCGCATTGGTCATCTATTTATTCAATATCTTAAAGTCCTCATTGATCCCCGATGTTTGCAATATCTTGTGTGGACTTCTATAGAAAGGAAAGGTCAATAGTCGGGCGGGGCCGACAATACATATATGATACCCTACACCAATATGCATATTTAGTAGAGCTTCTGTAACAAAAGAACTTATTTGAAGTAGATCATACTACTTATCAACATTTGGTTTTAGAGCAGTTATAGTATGGTTTCAGAGGGAGTGCATGATATCACTTCCAGAAGGATAATATTCAAAAAATATATATCGGGGTTGAGTTCCACAAAATGAAAACCTATGTCCCGAAATGCACACCATTTCGACTGATTTTAACAATAAACCTGAAATCGTATTGATGACATATATGGGAACTATAGCCAAATAAGAACCAATCTTGAAAAAAATTTAACAGAGGTATTTCGGGACTATATCTGATATCTTATACCAAGGATAATTGTTCTGGAGTGCACTTTACACATGTGAGGGACTTAAAACGCTAAATCGGATGAAACATATGTAATAGAGCTATAGCTATATCTAAACCGTTTTTCACCAAATTTAATGTACTTGCTTCTAGACTGAATTCGGTCGGATGTGCCAAAATTCAGGTCATTTGGACTGATATTGGCCATTTAGTGCACAATTAATCCGAAATCGGTTGAAGCTTTATATGGGAGCTATATCTAAATCTGACCCGATTATCACCAATTTCAATAGGGTACGTCCTTGGCCCAGACAAATATTGTTTGGAAAATTTCATCTTAATCGGATAATAAATGCTACCTGCATTTTGTTTGCAAGAATACATGGGCAGACGGACGGACTGACATGAATAAATCGACTCAGAAAGAGATTCTATGAAGATCCTCAAAAGTAACTATGGATCTATCTCGCTTCCTTCTCAATTTTACAAACAAATGCACAAAAGCATAATACCCTTGTCACTATGTGGTGTAGGGTATAACAATTATTACCACAAGAACCACATTTCAATACCTTCATTTCAAATAGGCTCATGGTTGACACTTCGCTAAAACTAACTTCTAATCTAACTTAAACAAAATACGGATTTATTGATCTCCCACTCCTGGTGGAACATACTGATTGATTAGATCCTCTATGCATGCCTTTACATAGGTTTTATGCGGTTCGGCAATACTTTCCAGTTTGGGTAACATTTTCATGAGAAATAAAAAATCGGTGGAGAGATTTATGTTCTTGTGCAATTGTGTCGGGACGGATGAACTTATTGTGGTCGCACAATATTTATTGCCATTTTCCTTGCTGACACCATTTGTGGAGGCAGCGATTCCATTGCTTAACAATGTATTGGCATTTACAATGACCGGAGTGGCACTTGAATTATCGCTGCGTGTGAAGTTTAGTTTGGAATTTCCACCACTATGTAAAGAGCTGGAAACTAAACTGTGTGGCTCTTTTAGAACCAGCAATTGCTCATTGTTGTTATTGCTAACACTTAATGTGGACGTAATGGGATGGGAACTGTTACTGTTGCTGCTGTTGTTATTGACTGGTATGATTTGTGTGGTTATGATTTTGGTACGATTCTTTTTTGGTGGCAGTGTTAAAGGCAGTCTTTCGTTATTATTATCAACTTGTGTTTTCAAGCGGATATTATTTGTATTCAAGTTATCATTTATTACGGTGGGCTTTCCATTCGTATCCTGATTTGCTGTACTTGCAATTGCTCCATTGGTATTGGCCAGAGTGATGGCTAAACCATTGCCATTTGTTGTAGCAGCAGTACCTTTAGCTTGTATGCAACTTAGGATTTCCGGTAAAATTTTCTCAATTTTCTGTGGCAACTGACCATTGGTGGAGTCAGCGAAGAGTGTTAACTTTTTGGTTCCGCCACCGTTTTCTGATTTCATAAATTTATCAGCCAGCCCATTTCCATGCACATCATCCGTCTGTTTCTCTTCCATTATTAAGTACATTTTACGTTTTTGTCCGGGGGCACAATTTCCGCCCGCACCATTTCCACTGGCACAGTTAGCACCTCCGTTCCCAGTAACGCCATCAGCGCCGCTGTCATCACACTTTTCAGTTATCATATAAACTTTACGATTTTTTAAGGCCAATGCATTGGTTTTGGCCAATAGGCCGGCATTTAATGTTTTAATGGCATTCTCAGTCAATTCATCCATAGTTGGTCCATTTGAATTGGAGGTGGGCGGAGTTGTTGCGGAGCTGCTGGAGGGTAGTGATGGTGGTGGTGATTCAATGCTGCTGCTGCAATGACCATCACTGCTATGGGAAATTGTTGATGTGGCAGATGATATGGAATTTGTACGTTTCGGTGGTGGTTGTACAATTATTGACGTTTGTATGGGCAGTGCTTCCTTGGTGCTTAGCATGGAACTATTTAGAGCACAAATTCGTTTCTAGGGAGAGGAAAGTGCAAATTGATCAATTGAAGGTGTGGCAATAATAAATATTCGATTTTACCTTACCTTTAGGACTTGTTCCGTAACAATTCTATTGCTGGATGAATTGACAGCAGCGGAAGCTGTTTGAGCCTCCTTCTGCATGCGTGTCGGTGTGGTTTTTATTCGTGTCTTAGCCATTGGTGTGGATTTATGTTTTTTTCCTGGGTAATTTAATGTTGAATGTGTTACATAAGTGGATTATTTCATGAAGTTAATCTGTAAGGAAACAAGATAGAAATATTCAAATAACCATGTGGCGGATTTAATCATTTTTAAAAAATTTATTAATAAAGTATTTTGGAACAGTTAAGTGATCATATGTGTGTTGGAAGTTTTGGGTTTAATGATGTGAGAGAGAGATTTTTTATGGAAATATCATATTATAAAAGTACTAACGTAACAGGTGTCAAAAATTCTAACATAAAGGTGTCAAATTCAAATTTTGGTTCATTAGAAACAAACTTGTGTAGCGAAACTATAATTTATTCATAATATCCAACTATAACTATTGAATATAACAGAAATTTTGCGCTCTTTCTAAAAATATTGAGAGTTGGTATTGATTTATTAAGTAAAGCAAAAAGCTTTTTGGAAAGATGTGGAGGAAAGGTGTCAAGGATCACTTTATTAAGACCTGGTGTAAAACAGTTATTTTTAGAAAACTAGGGAAATGACAGAGGTAATATTCCCAATTGTATTCATCTCCAATCGTTTATTGAACATTTGCACTTATAGACGGTAATGTCTTAAAAGAATGCCGAATTAGAATTTGATCTGGGTTTTATAGAAATATTACGATGTTCAACATTTTGCCAGAAAATTCATTAATAATTTTAGACAAAAGATTTTTGCATGAAGTTCTTGACTTTATGATACCCTACACCCCTTTGCATAGTAAGTAGAGCTTCATATAATAATATAACAATTAACAAGTTAAAAAACAGTAAGTTCGGCGTGGTCGAACTTTGAAAACCCTCCACCATTTGGAACGATTTTGAAAATTTTCAAAAAATAAAATCCTTAAAATTTTAAAAATACCGAATATAGCCGTTATATTGGGGTCTATACGATGTGAACCTACATAGGCATTGTTTGCCATAAGCCATTACCATATTCAAATTCGAAATTTGAAATTAACGGAGAATAATGTAGCTAAAATCATCAAAATATCCTATATAGGGAAGTACCGTTACATCGGAGCTGTGCGAAGACCTGGACCAGCATAGACAATTTTCTGTCACAGGCTGTAGCATCCATTACGAACTTCAAATACGACATCTCAAACAATTTCGGTGGGTTTTGTACCTAAACTCGTCAAAATACCGAATATAGGGAGGTACTGATATATGGGGCCTATACTACGACCTGGGCCTGCATAGACAATTTTCTGTCACAGAATGTATGTCCCATTACGAACTTCAAATATCAAATTTGAAACAATTCCGGGGAATAATGTCGCTAAAATCATCAAAATACCGAATATAGGAAGGTGCCGTTATATGGGGGCTATACGAAGACGGGGACCTGCACAGATAATTTTCTGTCTTAGGCTCTAGTATCTATTTCTAACTTCAAATACCACATTTGAAACAATTCCGGTGAATAATGTTGCTAAAATCATCAAAATACCGAATATGGGGAGGTACCGTTATATGGGGGATATATGAAAACGTGGACCTAATACCCTTGCCACTATGTGGTGTAGGGTATAACTATTATTTCCACAAGAACCACATTTCAATACCTTCATTTTAAATAGCCTGATGGTTGACACTTCGTTAAAACTAACTTCTAATCTAACTTAAACAAAATACGGATTTATTGATCTCCCACTCCTAATAATGTCGCTAAAATCATCAAAATACCGAATATCGGAAGTTACCGTTATATGGGGGCTATACGAAGACGTGGACCTGCACAGATAATTTTCTGTTTTAGGCTCTAGTATGCATTTCGAACTTCAAATACCATATTTGAAACAATTGCGCTGAATAATGTAGCTAAAATCATCAAAATACCGAATATCGGGAGGTACCGATGTATGGGGGCTATATGAAAACGTGGACCTACATAGCCCATTTACGAACTTAACCTGCCTACTGAAAAAATAAACATGTTTGCAAAATTTTAGCCTTCTATCTCAATTCATTTGAAAGATAGCGTGATTACAACAGACAGACAGACTGACATCGCTAAATTGTCTTAGAATTTTACGCTGATCAAGAATATATATACTTTGTTGGCTCTGACGTGAGTATTTCGAGGAGTTGCAAACGGAATGGCAAAGTTAATATACCCTCCATAGTATGGTGGAGGGTATAAAAATATAACAAATCGGATGAACAATATATATCTGAACCAAATTTGATATAGTTGTTTCTAGGCTCAATTTGGTCGTAAGTGCCAAATTCCATCCCTTTGAGTTAATATTACACATTTGGTGTTTTTAGAAATTCGTACTAAAAGGGAACGAAAAGTAGTATATTATACTAAAAGTTGTATAATTTGTATTGGACAAATGGAATAAGCTAGAATTTGGAATAAAATTCACTGATTTAGTGCATAGATATACCAAAGGTTTTTTTGGAAATTCGAACTTTAAAGTTACAAATAGTTCTAAATGGTACTAAACTTCTAAAATGGTACCGTTTGCTGTGATACCATGTGAACGGATAGAGCTAAAAACTTAAAAATTTGGTATGTAAATCAATGTTGGAAAAAAGGTTTGAAATAATGAAAGTGGTTTTGGAAATGTTTACCAAGTGTGCGAACTGTACTAAATTTGGGCAGTTTGGTTTAGGGTTTAGGGTGAAGCTGGAATTTTCTAATTATTTTTAAATGTGTACTACAAGTGGACGAAAAGCACTAAATAGTACCATATTTGGTATTGGACGAACATATAGTGCCTAAAATCGGAAATTTGGTAATATTGTCGCTGTCCATGTGTAGCCTGGACATAGGGAGGTAGTTCTGGAACTGTGAATGGTACTATATTAGGTATATATTCTTAATTTGATATTTAGATTAGTGATGGTATCTGCGTCTGGGATTTGGCGGTGGTTTGGAAATGCGTCCTATGTCTGTGCGAAAAATACTAGATTTGATATTGTGATCTCTGTTGTTATCTGGAATTGAGATATGGAGGTGGGTTTCGAAATGGGTACTATAATTGTACGAAAAGTACTAAATAGTACTAGATTTGGTATTGGATGAAGAAATAGAGCCGAAATTCTAAATTCTGGTGATTGATTTGATAATGCGCACTATAATTGTTCGAATAGTATTGATGGTACTAATTTTGGGATCACTGTTGATGTCTTGGATGAAGAGATGTAGATTGTTTTAATAAGTTTGGTAGTGGGTGAAGGGTGAGGTCACTGTTGATTTCTACGGTCTATAGGTCCACATTGTGTAATGGTTTTACTAATATCCTGCTCGGTAAACTTCAACATGGAAGATTTTGAAGACATTGTGGTGTAAGAGGTAAATATTTTCCTATTATTCTTTCCGAAAAAGGAAATTCTTAATAATATATAAAACCTAGAATGTCAGAAAATCATAACATGTGCATAGTTTTTGTGTGCATGCATTGTTTTAAATAATAAACAACATAATTAAACCACTAACAAAAACTCAAAAGTCTGGCGGGGCCGACTATATGATACCCTACACCACTAATCATATTTAGTAGAGCTCCCGTAACAAAAGAATTTATTTCAAGTAGATCATACCGGTTATAATTTGGTTTCAGAGGGAATTAATATATAGGAGGCATATCCAATTTGACGGAGACATTTTAATATTTTATATCAAATAGTATTGCTACAGAGTGCATGATATCACTTCGAGAAGGATTATATTAAAAACATATATATATCGGAGCTGAGTTGCACCAAATGGAAACGTACGTCCCGATATTCACTCGATCTGGGCTGATATTACCTCTTATTTTTTGCACAACAAACCTGATATCGGTCGGATGTGCCAAAATTCAGGTCATTTGGACTGATATTGGCCATTCGGGGCCCATTTAACCCGAAATAGGTCGAAGATATATATGGAAGCTATATCAAACCAAATTTGAACCGATCTTGATAAAATTTGGCAGAATTATTTTCGAGCTGTATCTGATATCTGGTACCAAATATCAATGTATTTGCCATTTTTACTTTTTGCTCTTCGTAAGCCGGCTTAATAGCCTACAACAAACAAGTAAATAAACACAAAGCTTTACAACCCACACAAAAAACAAAACTCCCAAGTTTATGATGCAAAGCTTTGAACTTGAGTTTATTGAGAGCGGCAAGTTTTCGTTCTCACTTTATTTATGTTTTTTCGATTCAAATTTGTTGCTCTCCTGAAAGTTTCATTTGCTTGTTATTGTTGTTTTATTGTCAGACATGATTTTTATTATTAGATTGCATGTACGACGAACAACAAACAAATGGATGGATGCATTCACTTTGTTGTTGTTGCTGTTGTTTATTCTTCAATGCAGCAGAGTAACCTCAAACTTGAATATTGTATGGGCTTTGGCAGAGGCATTATTGTGTTGTTGGGTTGTATTTATGCCATCTGAATTGAATCAAGTTGAATGCGTTGTACGACAAGAGAGGGAGGCCTAGCTGCAATGTCTGCATGTAATTTTGTTTGTGTATATGTGCGTAAAGTGACGATAGTTAGTAAAATGCCTGATTTTTTCTGTCATTTATTGGCGTTGTTCTAAAAATATCAAAAATTTAGAAATGGTGAGTGTACTTAGTTTGGTGGAGGAGTTGGGGACCAACATGCAAACGATTATGTCAATACTGTGTGTGCTACAACGCATTTGGGGTAGAAACCAAAACAAAAATGATAAAATGACAAATATGTATCAGTTTTACTAGGGACCCATAATGGAAACTCAGAAGAAGTCAACATAGTTAAAATGATATAAACCCTTGAGATCGCATTGATACTACATAAGCTTCAAATCCTCAGGTACAGGCGATACTGTCCACCCAACTCTTTAAATGCATTACAGTTTTTTTATATCTCATAGAAATTGAAGGAAGTATCAGATTTATTATACCCTACAACACTTTGTGTTGGGGGTATTATAAGTTTGATTGGGCCAAAAATTATGTAACACCTCGAAATATTGGTTTCCCACATAGAAAAGTATATATGGATCTTCCTATCTCGCCGAGCTGAGTCGATCTAGCTATGTATGTCCG